CGTCGAGGTACTATAAATCATTTTGTCACATTGCAACCGCTTCGCTTTTACGAGAGACACAACAGAGTTCCTCCTTTATTCGCGGTTTCGGATCTACGAGATAGGGAGAACAGGAGTTGGTGCGTCTGGGAAACGAGGAGCAATGTTCTTTCAGTTCCTCTAATGAGCATTGGAGGGGGGAACTTGGTGCGGCCGGGAGTGCCGCACCGTTCGTTCTATGCAGGCGGGAGGTCTCGGATATCGACATCGCACAGCCAACAGCGCGGCTTCTAGGGCAAAAAGCCAGTTTTCTTATCGTTTTCACGGAACCAGTAAGCCTCCTCACTGGGAACATTAGCTGCCATCTTTTCTTGATTTTTCTCCTTTTTTGAGCTCTTCTTCATTCATTGGAGTATCGCGTGGGAAAGCCTCGGTCGACCGTTTTGCTGGGACGGAGAAGTAGATATCCAAGGAGGTCTTGATGACCTTGGTGGATACGGGCTGTATGTAGTATATACACACCGAAGTTACTGACGAGCTGCGTTGTCTTATATAGAGGGCGTAAATGTATGTCGGTATAGGCCGTGGAATAATGTCACACTGGTACATTCAAAGAAATCGTTTCGTTGCCGTGCTCAAACATGCAGGTTTGCTCTGTCAATGAGATGTAGCTATTGCACACACATCCAGACCGGCTATCCAGAATCCTTCAACGACAGGGAGCTTAGATGTGGACGTTTACTGGCCTTGGGGGAAATGCTCACTCGCGGTAGAAGGGTTGGTTGGTTGTGTGTGGTCTTGTGCTGTGAATCGTCCGTCTCGCCCGCGATGCTGAACACGCCTCAAAAGCCTGCAAAGCATATTCATCTACGCCACTCAACAGGAACCAAACTGCTTCATCCTCTCACTACCAATTCAAAGCCTGAGTGAAATATCAATGTCGTCGACGGGGTCAAGTTCATATATATTCAGCCAAGTCATCCATCCCACCCCATACCTCATGACTAGACATGCCACAAACAGAAGGTCTCCCATATCTCTCTTCTCTCGCGCGCGTGCCGCAGCATCTTCCATCTCCTCACAAACACCAACACGTTTCACAAACAAAGACGGCACACGTACACAAAACTCGAAGAGTGTTTTTTCATAACCCCATATACACAAACAACCCCGACATATTCCCCGTCCCATTTCGACACATGCCAGGTCATGTACAGCGAGCGCATCGTCACGGAGGGGGATGAGTAAAAAGACATTTGAAACCCCGACAACCCCCTCCTTCCATACCCGCTCTCTCACTCTACTCCTCTCGGCGTAGGTGGGAAGCTGGTATGAAGGAAAGAGAGGGTGCCGAGACCGCGGAATGTCGCTACATACACGAAGAGAGGAAGAGCCGTTCGTTCCTCCGAAAACATAAAAACCTCGAGGAGGGGGGCGGGCCCTAGTTACGGGATGCCTCCTCCTATCCCTCCCCCTTTTTCTTTTTTTCCCCTTTTCTCACACCACCGATCGTTCCTTTCCGAGTTTCATCCTGCCTCCAATCCGTCTTGTCTCGTTTGAGATACCAACGTCTTCCTCATCATCATTGCGTCCACCGAGGGTTTTCCCGCAAGGTCATGGAAACACACAAGATTGATAAGGAGTGTCTTCTCCCGATCCGAGTGACAGCATGGCAAAACAATGCGTCGTACTGCGCGGTCGAATGCTGATTTCATAAAAAAGCAAAAGAAAGAATAGAGAGTGGTCATTTCATGTCGTCAAAGTCGTAAAGCTCGTCGAGATTCAAAGAACGCCAGACGCCACTTCCCACATCCAAATCCGCCACATATGTAATGGGCCCGTCCACCGGTGCAAAAAGGCAGCAAACACTTCGCTTGCCTCTTGACTTAGGTGAACCGCATGCCTCTCCAGCGACCGGGAAGCTCGCGCTCCTGCACAGGGATGCTGTGGTGGTTCTCCCCCTCAAAGCCGAACCCGCCGTGGCTCTTGTACTGCTCAGGTACGCACGGCACGGAGGGGACGCCGTGGTTCGAGTTGGGTCGGAGGCCGAGAGGCTCTGCCGCTCTGCGGATGCCGCGCGACGTCCACGCCCGCGCGGACTCGACAAAAGACCGCCGCGAGTCATTCGAGTCGATGCTGCTACGGGTGCTGGCGGCGTAGAGCGGGTTCGGGGGTGCAAAGTCCGTGTCCATGGGGCCGAAGTACGAGGCCGACGGGGCATGTTTGGCGAGCTTGTTGCTTGCGCGGGCCGAGTTGCTGAATGATCGTCTGACGAAGACTCCACTGCGAGGGGGCGGCGGGGGCATGTAATTCGGCGGGGGAGGAGGGGCTGCGTAGTTGGGCGGCGGGGGAGGGGCCATCGATTCGGAGTGCGAATGCATGTGAGAGCGCGGTTTTCGTAGACCGGGGAGGGAGAGGTCAACAGAGATGCGTGAGGCAGACTTGCGCAGCTTCTTGACGGCAGACATCTCCTCCTCGTCTTCAGACCCGAAACCGCGCTTGCGGTTGCCGTCGCGAGAGTCTGGCAGGGGTTCCACCTCATCCTGCGTTGGAGGCAGGGGCCACTGTCCCGACATGCGCTCCGCAAACGACTTCTTGTCAACAGGGGGTTTGGTTGAGTACATGGTGCTTGACGGAGCGATGTTTGGTGGAGGAGGCTGGCGCGTGGAGCGGATGGCGTGCGCGTCGAAGAAACCGTCCTTCATCAGCTGCTGGTAGCTGGCCATGATCTCCTCCCTAGAAGGCATGCCCGCACCGTTGGCTAGGGTCGGCGCCGGGACAGCGTTCGCACTGCCGAACCCTCCAGCTCCGCCTCCGGTGGCGAGAAGCTTGCCGTCCAGGCTGAGCGGGCGCTTAGCCACCCTATCCTTATCCCTGACAAAGCTCAGCTTCTCGCGGAGACCGCCCCAGAACCCCTTCTTTGCGACGTGGCTGCTAGCCGAACTGGCGGGCCTCTTAACCTCGCCATACGTGACCGTCGGCTGGTTCACGGAGGGGTGTTGTTGTTGCTGGTGGTGGTTTTGCGACGACAGCAGCGACTGGGAAGACTTGTGGTGTTGAGGCTTGGGCGGGGACAGGACGCCGGCGTCGGGGGCCTCGACGTAGAAATCCATGCGGAAGCGACGGGCAATTTCGGTCGAGTCTTCAGGGCCGAGGAAGTTGGGAGGTGGTGCGGCGGAGGTACGGTCGTTCATGGAGCCCTCGACGAAGCGGGAGTTTGCACGCTGCGTAGAGTTTGCACGCTGCGTAGAGTTTGCGCGCTTAGCCGTAGGTCGCTGCGCAGATGCAAACGCATTCGTCGGGGGAGGGACCATGACTGGGTGAGAGTTCAGAGGACCGGGGGGTTGAGGATCGTCGATTTGCATCATGGTTGATAGCGGACGCGGTTCGGTTGTGCTCGGGTTGTGAGTTGATCTGGTTCTCTTACTCGAGGTGGAAACAGAGCCCCCTCTGCCCTAGCTAACAAGATTGATCGTGGTCTCGCGATGAGAAGGGGGGTTGAAATGCGATCAAATGGTAGGTATCGAGAGGAGGGGGATTATTGGTGGCAGCAAGGCAGCGAGCGCCGTTGGGTTTTTGTTTACTTGCCCGTGCCGTCGCACCATCCGCACCCACGCGCTCCCGCAACAGCAGCTTTTCAACTTCGGGCTTCTTCCTTGCACGTCTGGGACAGCAGCAGGTTGCGAAGTCGCAGTTAAAGGGATTGGAAAATCTGGAATTGGGTGAAGAAGGTTTATGAAGGGTGAGGGGAAAAGTGGGAAAAGCCAGGTTGATAGTGAGTGGAAGGTAGGTGCGAGAGGGCGATGCGATGGGCTTGGGGTTGAATGTTGATCTTGTAGTATCGGCACTATTGGAAGGGCAACGCGCGATGGAGTTTGCGGTCGGCCGGGGATCGTTGCCCACAGCGAGGTACGCCGGACGCGAGGCCCAAAAGGTAGCGTCTGCCATTGGATTTGGAGGGGAGAGTGGCCCCCGTTGCTCGGGCAAACAAACGCGCCCACCACTGGCTGCGCTGCTAGACCCAAACGCGACCCTCCCGCGCTCCACTTGGCTCGCACCCGCAACTGGTGCCGCCCTCTTCCGCGTCCCTCACCTTGCACTTGAATGCTGGGGTCTGGTCCGAGCTTGCACCGCTGAAGCACGTGACGCTTGGACCTTTGCCAGACAACCACACAACCTATGGATACCTTGTCTAGGAATCTACCTTACCTTAAGGTAAGGTGCCTTGGGTAGGGAACGGATAGGTAGATCGAATGAAAATCTACTTACGTCTGGTCCTGTCACGTCCAAGTCAGCCACGTCAAGCTTGACGTCCTTCCAGCGGCACCGCACGATCCGGAGACCAAGTGTCCTCACACACTGCAGAAGCACTGAACCATAGGCAGACGGGAAACACAATTCTCCCCATACTTCCTAACCTCACTGGCAATAGGTTCACATTGGAGATCGAGAGCATCAAGTTTCAAAAGATATTCCCTATTTCCCTATGTAGGATACCCAACTGTGACTGCTGCAGCATGTACATGCCGCGTGACAAAAAAGGATACAGTACCCCAAAACCCTTTGACAGAGGAAATCAGGCCAGCAGATGATACATTACAACCACATGTGTGTCCGCGTCTTCATTGCCCTAAGTCGTTTCTTTTTGTAATCCAATTTGAATCATGCCGCAAACCATTCCATATCAGCCAAAGCATTGTAAAAACACAAAAAGGAAATGAGGAAGGGGAGGTGATGCCAAGAGAACATCGCCAACGTGATGAGGGTTTTCGTGTAAGGATTTGGACACACAAATGAAAAGGTTTGTCGAAGACGCCGCGTCGAAGTCCCTGATATTTACAGTCGAAGAGTAAAAAAAATAAAAAGTTGAAAAATCCTTCCGAATGCCATGGGGTGCCGGAAAACGCCTCGAGTCTCAAAGTGCTCGCCCGCCCTTGGTGCCGATCATGCTGTACAAGCCAAAATTCCCGTCCGCATTAGTCGTAGTCAAAACACCGTTATTTGTATGCATCCGCCCTCATCTATTGCTCACTGTAGCTGCCATTCGGCTTGGTCACGGTTGTACCGCCAGCACGCTTGTAAGTCATGCTCTCGGCATCACGAGGGCCGTACATGGGTGCGCCGTGATGAGATTCGGACGGGCGCTGGCCGTCATACAGAGGGCGCTGGTAGTCCTGGAAGGTGTCCGAGTAGCCACGCTTGGAACCGGCGCGAGCCAGCTCCAAAGGAGGAGGCAAGTTGGGGCTGGCCTCGATGATGTCGCTCCCACGCAGCATGTGAGCTGGCAGAGGTGGGGCAGGCAGACTGGAAAGGGGAGGAAGGACCACAGAAGACCTGCTGTTGTCGGCCAATGGCGCCATACGCGGGTAAGAGTACGAGTCTCTGCGGGGGTCGGAGTCGCGTCGCATGTAATCGACGTCTCTGGGGACGTGGGTGGACGGAGACAGGGGCACCATCATGGAACCTCTTCTGTCGTACGAGCCATGGGGAGTCGGAGGCGGGTTGCTCGGGGCATATTGTGAGCTAGGTCTGCTAGAGTAGCTGTGGCTAGGGGCCTGGTGGTACGGCGAAGGCTGGTTGGAGTAGTAGGATGCCGTGGGAGAGAGCGGAGGGGGCTGAGCCATGGGCTGAGCGTGCTGGGGAGGGTACGGCGCGCTGGAAGACGAATCACCAAATCGGAGGTACGAGTTTGAAGCCGGGGCAGCACCAGCCACGTGTGGTGGAGGAGGGGGAGGCGGCGGCTGGAACGACTCCACGGCAGACGGTCTCCTTTCTGGCACCACAGGTGCAGGTGCCTGTGGGTACGCGGCGCGATGCTCGCTGCTGTTGCTCACTGATCTGGCGCGGTATGGATCTGCGTTGCTTCGTAGTTCTGGCGTTTGTGTCCTCCTGCTGTTTCTGTACTCGTCCTCTGGGTTGCTGTTCTCAAATTCGTTGCCCGCTGGCTTGCCTTCACGACGTCTCATGCGGACATCACGTCTGATACGGACACGACAGCCCTGTTCTGAGATAGTCTTGCTCAGGTGCGTGCTTTCAGTCAGTCTAGGGAACTTCTTGGCACTGTAAACGCTAAACGGGATGGATTTGACGGGCATTCTCCAGTTGAAGCAAGGCTGGTCGTCTTCGGCGGGATCGCTGTCATGATCCCGGTCTTCGGGGTTTTTAATCTCCTCATACAGGTGGAAAGCCAATACGTAGCGGCCCTCGTGGCGAACTGAGAGGTCTGGGAAGAGGAAATAACCAGCCTCGGAGGGGCGGTCCAGATAGGCCATGCCGGAGACAGGCATACCGGTCAAGACAGGAGTCTGGCTGCTGGTGGCAGCCGGCGTTTGGACTCGACCATGAGCAATTTGACGTGCCGGGGCAAGTTCAGCAAACAGAAAGAAGTTGCCGTTGTAGCCCATGGTAACATCCTTGGCATCCTCTCTGTTAGGAGTTGGGCCCTTGGCCACCTTCAACTGGACAACTGGAGGCGGGTCGACAGGGCGGCGATCGGCGGCAGCTGGTCAACAAGGTTAGCAGAGAATTCATGACAACCGAGAGGTCGAGATCGTCAAGGTGTCTTACACTTGGAACCGGAACCACAAGCGCGTGCGCGCTCGGGTTGTTGCAATACGTTCATTTCATAGAAGAAATAGCTTCCTCCGCGGGTGCGTCTCTCAACCAGGGAACGAGTTTCCGAGATGTCCTCGATGGACGTCGGTGGTGCGGCGAACATCATCGTGGCGGTTTATGGACTCCAAGTCGTCAAATGGTCGGTGCGAAGTTTGGTCGATGCGGCTGGGGGGAGTTGAAGCGATGTTCTCCGATACTGGCAGGACGTTAGGTTTTGTTTTCCAACCGATGGGGGCTGCAGCAGCCCAAACATTGGGAACGACGTGATGTGCTCATTTATAAGAATCCGCGCAGCTGGGAAACCCCGTAGAACGAAACGCAGCAGGGCGCCTGGGCTGCTTCCACCAGGCGGCAGGAGGCAACTCACTTTATAGATGGCGGCACGGTGCAGTGGCGGCGTTCCTATTCCGATCCTCCACTCTGTACTGATCCAGTCAAGCTCTTGTTGTTGTTGGGGTGATGTGTCGAGTTAAGGAACGGTGTCCAGACGAGGCGAAGGCGACGACTGCGTTGGAGCGGTTGTCGAGGATCGCAGACGACTCGGTGGTGGTTGAGCAAGAGAAGAAGGGGAACGGTGGGTGGGAGATGGGATATGAAGAGGGAGACGGATGGTGAGCGAGTGGGACGACAGGACAGAAAAGAGTGGGAAGCGAAGGAACGCAATTGGCTTTGAGGGGGGTGTCAGTCTCTGATGGCTGGGAACCGGGCTCGACCGGGTATGGGTAGTATGGCAGGACTGGGGACATGGGTGGAGGGGATGAAAACTGGGTCCAGTGGACAATGGATGGCCCCAGGACAGTGAGAGCTGCATCGTTCACTGTGGACTGGGGAGACACACACTGGACGTGCTGAGTGAGTGTGTACCATGGAAACCTGGGAGGAAGGCCAGGTATCCGTAGGTAGGGGTGGGGTTTGGCTAGGTTCGGCCTGGCCTGGGCTGGCATGACACTGGCGCACTGCCAAACTTGGTCTTGGAGTGAACCCAGACACCCAGAGTCCTCACATTTCCCGTCTCTCTGGCACACTGTGAATCTGGAAAAGTACCCCGATCGCCTCTGGTCTAGTGCAAACTCAAGGGGGGGGGGGGGGGGGGGGGGGGGGTGGGTGTGAAGAGGAAGAACAGAGCCAGCACCAGAACTCAGAAAGGGACCCAACGCCTCGGACTGGGGCCCAGCTGACTCGGCGGTAATTGGTAGGGACGAAATTTGACAATGATGGCGGCCGCTCCTGGCTCCGGGCTGCGCTGCGCTGCCTTGTTGCTCCTGCTCCTGCTCATGCTGCTGCTGCTGCTGCTGAACGACCTATGCGTAATTGTCTCCCTGTCGTTTTCTCTGGACCAAAGGTTGTGTGCGACAAACATTTTGGTGTATTGTCGCGGGACGCACAGCAAGGTAATGAGCGGCCTCCCCGCCCGACAGCCCATAAACCAAAAGTACATACCTGTCCTCGGTGGACTTCGTATCAAGCCAACTCAGCGTATCCGTCCCTACGTCGATATCGTTCGGTGGGCGGCGCCTCAAAAACTCCACATGCCATTGCGGCGTCACTGGCCATCGCTGTGAGGTGACGGAAGAGGACGACGCGGCAGGAATAGCTCTGCGTCCCCGTGGTGGATGAGGACGTGAATGGCCAGGGGGCAGAGTGCGAGCAAGCACGACTTCGTTAAGCGGCAGGGACCAGCAGCAGAGACTGAGCGTCGGGCAGGGGGCGGGGACACAGGAAAGAGGACCACACCGGTGACGGGATACTGTGGAATGGGTGGGAAGCGAGCCCCCCAGGACATCTGCAGACTGCGAGCATGCTGCGTACGAATACAGATGCTGCGGTACTTCCCACTCCTGCTCATCTCTCTGCAATCTGGCGCGTACCCAGTGTCCGCCATGTCGCGAACCGCGAGAGAGTGAGAGGGCGAGAGGTCTTCCACGTCTAACTGACGGCGATAAACGATGGGCGCACAAGGCAGCGGACGCTAGATCCAGAATCAGAAGCTCAGAAGCCCAGAACCTACACCTGCTAGTCCATAATTGTGCTGCACTTCGTCGTGCGCACATGGAACCGGCAAGCCAGACACAAGCTAGAGCTTTTAGCGCTGGCTGGCTCCCCCCATTCCCTTGTTGGCGGTTCGCTCGAAACCCGTGTCTACAGTTTGCCTGTCCAGTCCACTGTCCCAGTCATGTCCTGTCCAGTGAGCAACTGCGAATGCAAGAGGTGGAGATCGGTATCATGGGCCGACGCAATCGAGTTAGCAACAAGCCACCGTCCGTTCCAGCGCCAGCACTTCAGGAGCGAAACCCGTACGGGTAAAGAATCTGGAGCCGCGAAGAGCGTAGGGGAACCTTTGGAGCTTCTAACCAACGCCACGCCTGCCGCAATACCTTTGCGAGACCCAAGATATTTGGAAGGTTTAGCTGATTCTTGATTCCAGGCGACTTGAGCGATGATCACTGACCATCCTTTTCCAGCCGGGTGGTTCGTCCAGCGTGCGTACCGGGCAACTGTTGGCTGTGTCCCAGCTAAAAGGTCCTCGGGTGCTTTGGGGCTGCTCCTCCACTCCCCATGAAATTCCCTTTTGCCCGTGCGTGCTCACTGCCTGCTGCCCACTTTCCAGTGCGAACCCAAACCCAAACCCAAACGCACACGTACAAAGAGCCGGAGACTCGGGCTCATCGTTCCAAGTCCTGTTAGGCTGGTTTTGCTGGCACTGTGGTCCCGTCCTGCGAGCAGGCGGACTGAATCCGAGTCGTGCTGTTGTCCTGCAAGAATCGTGTGAACTTGCCTCAGACCATCTGCGTCGCGGCTACGGATACATGCTCCTGGAGCCAAGAGAGACGGGCAGGCCTCTCTGTCCATTCACCAGAACACTTCAGAATGAAGGCCTGCACAGAACCAAGCAGGCGAGGATAAAAAAAAAAAAAAAAAAAAAAGGAGAGACTCGTCCCTCACTGGACTGCTACCACCTGCGTACGCGGGCCCGGCTGTCGCCCGCCAAACCCGCCCATCCATCATCCGTTCAGCCAGCCAGCAAGCCCAGGGATCTCTCTCCTGTGACGCCCCCGTCCCTGCTGCTGCATCGCCATCTGCAGCCGCCTTCTGTTAGCTGCAGCTTGCGGTCCCCTCGATGCGCCTTTGGGTTCTTTGTGCGTGCTTCGTACCGCTCTCGGCCTTCGCGAGATGTGGCTCATCTCATTGACCCGGCCTATCACTCGTTATTCCCGATCCCACCCCTCTCCACTTCCACCTCGGAAGGGCCAATCCCGTCTCGTCGTCCGTCCCAGCCCTTTCGTCGCTCCCCTGTCCACACCACTATCCCGTGCCCCGGTCCATGCCCAGGACCTATCCAAGCCGGAAGTGCCCAGATGCCAGCATCTCCAGAACCGCTGCCAATGGGAGATGAGATTCTGGAGACGAGCCCTGCCCGTTGGGTTGCGTCCAAGTCACAGTGCGAAAGGCCGGCCCACATCCAAGGGTATGGGAAAAGATATGCTTGTTGCCTCTGATGGGTAGTGGGTGCCACACGGACACTTAGTCCAGTTGCCGCCTTATGTAAGATGGGTTGAGCCTACAGAATGCCTTCTGTGCTGATTCCCATCGTTCGAAATGCGACTGACCTGACGAGGGAGGTGGAAGAAAACGCCCGTCGTTGTGAGACATTCCGCACACATTGCGAGGCATCTGCTCGTGGACATGGAGACGTGCTTCAGCAGCATTGAGTCGGCTGGATTGTTCGACTTCCAAACCGTTCCACCCGTACTCTGGCTGCTGCAGACATTCGCCAGATGTCTGCTGTTTTCGATGTGCGTTCTTGATATGCAGCCCAGAGGGCGGCAATAAGAAAGCCGCTGCCATTGTTCGGTGCACGTGAACCGTCTCACCCAGTCGGCAAGTCACCCCTCGGTGCGGCTTCTACCATGCACTAAATTTATGTGCCGAGCCGTCGAGATGCAAGATCGGCGTGTCGAGAGGCTCAAGTCTGTGGTGGCCAGATCTCCTCACGGCCTCGTCGGTAGGAAACAAGCTCTTCTGATATGCGAGCGCCAAAATGAAATCAAGCACCTTCGTTCCTTGTCCATTCATCTCTGAGGAGAACGACAAGGCTAGGAGGATTTGCGTACAGCAGCATGGGCAACGATATGAAGGTCGGTTTTGGCCTGCTTGCCTGCCGCACCAACAAGAGACATCTGCTGGAACCTTGAAGAGGGGAAAGTCGAACCATGGTGCTCAAAACGGGCGTCCTGTAAAGTGCACCTGCAAGGCATCGGATGGCCTTGCCCTCAATTTTCTACTTTCCCCCCCTCGGTGGACAGCAGACCCGTACGACGGGGTCTGAAGAGCTGAAATCCCCTTGCTGCGGTAAGCAGTATCCGTCTCATCGGCACAGCCCGCAAAAAGGCCAAACCCCAGCATCCGGACGTCATATCTTCTCCTCTGCTTCAGATTAGGCTTGGCTCCGGTCTGAGTCGGCCAAAGTTTAGAAACAACATCTATCGGGGCCCAGAGAAACGCCGTAGCACCCGAGCAACCGTTCCCGGTCCTCATGCGAAGAGAAATGGGATTTTTCGTTCGCACTTGGAAACTAGAAACCTAGGACGACCGCCGACGTGGGTGTCGCGCCTCGTGTCCGTGACGCTCGTCATAGGGCACAGAATAGAGTTTCTGACGGATCTCAAGTTGTCGTGAATACCGATAACGCGTGACCTTGTTGGCTGTAGCGGGTAGCCACCCGAGCTTCTCGGCCGGGCGCCGCTTCTTGGTGTCCCTTTGATAGTGCTCTCTGGATTCCTCAAGGCTTGAAAAAACGCGATTAAGCCAACAAGGAGTGTCCGAAGAAGACTGAATCAGTGACGCTCCTGGGCGAGGATGATTCCGAGTGATCAGCATCTACCGAATCCCCTAGACCCCACACAGGAGATTTATTTATATTGGTATTGGCCGGGCTAAGAGGTCAAAATGAGAATGGTCCAGTGTCAGGGTCAGGGCAGACCGGGGGCTGTGGGGGACGGGCAGAGGGGAATGAGGGACGATTTGAGCCAACGTACCAGGACAAGTACTCCGTGCCAGATGGGGTTTTGAACGGACAAGTTTGTACGGCCGTGGATCTGTGAGCGT